TAATATTATTATTATTATTAATTTTGTAAATGGTGTCGTTTCGTTAAATTTTCACTTTCAACCCGGATGAAACTTTTTTTTTTTTTTTTTTTTTACGGATAAACGTTTTTGATCACGTGGTCGTTTAAAAAAAAAAGAAAACGTCGTCGATTAAAAAAAAAAAAAAACTTAAAATTTTACCGGAAAATTTTTTGTTTTCTTCGAAATTTTTTTTACCCACGTTTGCGAAAATCCTGTTGGAAAATGACAATTTTATTCTATTACCACGAAACGAAATGTCGGGATGAAATATTTATTTGAACTTGTGACCTTTTCTCCCACTTGAACCTCGTTTCACGCGAAAACATTCGTTTCCTATTTTGGAAAATTCTCAACGACAAATTTTCTACGCCCTTTTTTCCTTTTTTTGTATTTTACGTTGACTACGTAATCGTTTGTTGCTATTAAAAAAAAAAAAAAACAATTCTCGATTATGATAATGATGATGATGGCGATTAACGTCACAAAATTTCGAAAAAAAAAAAAAATAATAATAATAATAATAATAATAATTTTCCAGACGTTTAAAAAAAGTCTGGATGAAAAGTTTTTTAATTTTCATTAACTTAATTGATTTTTATTTTTTATTTTTTTTCAAGTTCTTTATTATTATTATTATCATCATCATCATCATGATTATTATTATTATTATTATTATTGTTTTTATTGGTCGTAAGAAAGCAGAAGAAGAAAAAAAAATTAAAGCGATTCATTCGAAAATTAATTATCCCGAAAAAAAAAAGGTGGGAAAAAAGGGAAAAATTTTCTTTTAATAAAAAAAATAATAATCGGTTCTGGTTTTAAGCGATGATAATAATAATAACAATAATAATAATAATAAATATTTTTTTAATTGTAAAAACGTAAGAAAATGGCGACAATTTATTTATTTATTTATTTTTTTCGTCTGCTGAGATAAAAAAAAAATTACGGTAAAGATAATTTTTTTTTTTCTCTTTAAAAAAAAAAATAATTACGAGTAATTTTGTTGTTGTTGTTGTTGTTGTTGCAAGAAATGATTTTAAGTTAAATTTTTCAAAACGTTTTTTTCTCTGGTAATTGTTCAAGGTCAAAGGTCAGTAAATCAAGTCTTGCATTTGTTTGATTTAATTACTCCCCTTTTGTTTTTTTCCAAGTCACGATTCACGATTTTTTCTTTTTATTTTTTTTTTTTCAAGTTAAATGTTTACGGATTTTTTTTTTGGTTGTTGTTTGTTGCTGTTGTAAACACGCGTGAATAAGGGCCGTTTGTCAAATGACCGCAAAACTCAGAATAAAACCATTTTTTGCTGTCGTTTAAGACGATAGAGAAATGAAAATGACGATGGGAGTTCGTTTGTCGAACAAACGCCCTTTTTTTTTTTTTTTTGTTTTTCGTAATCGGTGGTTGTTGTACCTTTTCAGGTTCGTATCAGATTGAAACTTTTTCAAAAAAAATAAAAAAATTCAATCAGGTTCGATTTCCGGTATTGGGAAAATTTTCGCGTAAAAAAACGTGAATCGGGTTAACTTTTTTTTTTTTATTTTTTTTTTGCAATAAGAGTGAGTTTAGTTACTCAAGTGATTTGTAATAGGTATTAATTAATCGCAACAAACAACAAACAACAACAGGAGCGTGTTGTTTGATGAGAAATCATCTAATAATAATACCGGTTTAGAAAAATCTCGAAATGAAAAAAAAAAAAAAAAAGAATTTTCGAAACCGGTTTGCTCTAATATCCGAGACAACTTCGTGCAAAAAAAATTCAATAAAAAATTGTGAAAAATCAAATCGATCAATCGATCGATCGATCGATCTCCGATCCCTCGAGAAATAACTTCAAACGAGAAAACTCTGTGAAAATTTTATTTTTCACTTTTCAAATCTCGTCATTCGTTTGTGTGACAGAGAAAAACAGGGTTAATTATCGACATCCGGTGTGTTTTCTCTCTCTCTCTCTCTCTATCTATTTATCTATCTCTATATCTGTCTCTCTCTTATCAATTCGACATTTAATCCGTGCGTGACCCTCCTTCTTCATATTTGTTTGACGTTATAATTTAAATGACCATCTTATAAGTGGACAATTTTTTTTTTTTTTTTTATTAAATGTCAAGGTAAAAATGACCGGGTCAAAATTAGGAGGTTATTAACAATTTTAATTTTTTTTAAAAAAATAGAAATCGATTTCGAACGCTTATTAAAAACGTAAATAATTAAGGGCGGTTTTTAAATGTCATTTTTAAAAAAAAAAAAAAGAAAATGGCGCGCACGACAAATAAGGTAAATAAATAATTCGAATTCGGTCACGTTCCTTTACGTAATTATAACGAAAATGAAAACGTTATGCAAACGACATTTTCTTTTTTTTTTTTGTTCTACTCCCTTAAAATTTATTTTTGAATTTTTTTTTGTAAGAAAAACTAACAAACAAACGACAAACGTTTGGAAAAGTTCGATTGTATCGATTATCGAAATCGTAAGATGATGAAAACAATCGAATTTCTTTTCCGGGAAATTCATAAGTTAAGAATCACGTGATCGCGAATAATAAAAACAGCGGAGGGAGGGAGGGAGAGGGAAAAAACTCCGCGAATCGCGATATATCGAATGTATCGATATATCGATCAAACGTCAATTTTGAATACGATAAATCTTTATGATGAAATTATAAACAAAAAAATGATGAAGTCATATTTTCATTGTAAGAAAGAAGGTCGCCATTTTTTTTTTTTTTTTTTGTTATTCAGAAAGAAGAAAGCTAAAAACAAAACAAAAGTTTTTATTTATTATTATTATTATTATTATTATTATTATTATTTTGTATATGAATAATTTTTCTTTTCTACGACTTTCTTTTAAGTTTCAAAACTTTTTTCTTTTTTCTTTTTCTTTAAATTCTCTTCTCTTTACACGATTCCGGTTCCACGTATAAGTTTTTTTTGTTTTGACTAATCGCTTACATAAAACAATTTTTTTTTTTTTTTTTTGTCAAAATGCTTCATCACCATCCTAATTAATTATTTTCATAGGTTGCTGATGATGAACTCAGGTTGTTTTTTTTATTCATGGGAAAGAAAAATGGCTGCGTTCGCGTTGTCACTTTTTTTTCCATCCATCAATGTATGTTTTTTCAAACAATATTTATATAATAATGATAATAATACAAAGATAATTATTTAACGTGGAATTACCGCGGCGGGTAATGGCTTATTATTATTATTATTATTACGATCGTCATCATCATCGTTTTCGCCACGGATCAAAAAAAAAAAAAAAAAAAAAAAAATTATACTTTTCATTCAATCGAAATATTATTTAATTTTTTACTTTTCTCATTTATACGCATCATAAGTGTTGTCATTATTTCTACAAAATTGCTTTGTCGTTATTTATTATTATTATTATTATTATCACTATTATTATTATTATTAACACACTTGAGAGAAACCGCGATCGTGCTCCTCGTAAATGTCCATCCTCGCATTCGAAATGAATTTGTCAAAACCTTTTTGTGTACCTTTTTTTCCGAACACGAGGGAAAAGCGTAATAACGGTTTTTTTTTTTTTTTTTTTAATGGCGGAAATAAACGGAAGTGAAATCGTATACGTGTAAATTGTATTACAACAAAGGTTCCGATAATCATTTCCGGTTTACCGATGGGTGTTTACACGATTAATAATAATAATAATTAATGAATCGTCGATGAATTTTTAAATTCGACGATGATAATAATAACGTCATTTTTTTCTTTTTTTTTTCATTTTCACGAGGTTTAAATTCGTAAATGTAAAAGACGTTAAAGTTTTTTTTTTTTTTTCCCCCCCGATCGTGGCGGAAAAATTATTCAAAATCTCGTGACACTACAATCCGTGGTATATAATAATTATTTTATTGACACGACGACGAATTTTTTTTTTTTTACTTTCGGTTCGAACTTAATTTTAATGGCCGATTACGTAATGAATGACGTCATCTCTCTCTCTCTGCCGAAATTTTTTTTTTTTTAAACGTGCGTTTGTTTGTTTGTTGTGTACCTTCGCGATAATAATAATAATAATAATAGTATTTACAAACCTATTAAAAATGTTTGTTGTTGCTCTTCTTCGTGATTATGAATTTTTCCTAATCAAACGAATCAAAAAACTAGTAAATTTTAAAAATATTTACCGAAGTTGTTTGTACATAAAAGAAAAAAAAAAAATTATTTAATTACGAATCGAACGTGACCCGAGGTTAAAAGGTCAATCAACAAAAAAATTTATTTATTTATTTATTTTTATTTTTTTTCAGATTGATCGAAACTCTATTGAGACTACGTGAATTTTGAAATGTAAAATAATTTTCTTTGACTAAAATATTTATTATTATTATCATCATCGTCGTCGGTATAACTCGATCGTGGAATAAATTTCTTCGTTTACCAAACTCCGTGAGGGTGAGTTAATAAATTATTATTATTATCATTACGTAAAAAAAAAAAAAAAAAAAAAAATTTTCGTATTTGTAAAACTGGTACCACCGGTAAAAAAGGGTAAAATTTTGAAACGTAAATTAATTACATAAAAAAAAAGCAACACGATTAATAAAAGTATTTGGATCGTTCGATAACTCGTTCGATATCAATATATCGAGGATTAAAAAAAAAGTTCAAAGGTCAATCACATTTAAAAAAAAAAAAAAAAAATTTCAATCACAAAATTACAGGTAAAATAAAAAAACGAAAAATTGTAAATTTCGACAAAAAAAATTTATTTTATTTTAACAAGTCAAAGTGTTTTCTTTTATTTTATTTCGTGCTGCTATTTATTAATTATTATTATTATTATCATTATTATTATCATTATCATCATTATTCATTATCATTATTTTATTTATTTTTTCGACGTGTCATTGTGTACTCAATTGAAAAATTAAATTAATCAATTATAAAACATGGCGAAAGTGTGCGTGCGTGTGTGTGCGCGTGCGCGTGGATTTCTATTGAATTTTGGGGGGTTGAGTGGATACGAGTCGTCTCGAGGGTACCCGATATAATAATAATTCTAATTTTTCCCTTTGGCTCAAAGCTTTCGGTGCTCCGTGTCCGGGCCTCCCCCAAAATCCTTGCCACGTTTCAAAATGCCTGTGACTTTCAACTTCTTCTTCCTTTAATTTTTGCTTTAAAAAAAAAAAAAAATAAAAAAATAAAAGAGGAACGTTAAATCTCTTTTTTTTGCGGGAGGAGGGGGAGGGAGATGGGGAGTAAAGAAAATTTAACAACTCACCAATTTTTGTTTTTCTTTTTCTTCGACTTGATGGCATAACTGACGAAAATATTCCGGTGCGGTCGATCCCATTTTTTTAAATTCGCTTTTGTTACAAAAAAAAAATAATAATAATAATGATAATAATAATAGTAATAATAATAATGAAGGTTTTTTAAAATCGTGATCGCCTTAAAAGAAATAAGAGCAAATTAAATTTCTTCTGACACTTAACTTTCTGCTACCCCTTCTTTTTTTTTTTTTTTTGTCGTTACGAAAAAAAAGATAAAATTTGAAAGTTTTCGCGCGTGTCAGTCAACAGTTGGTAACCCTTTTTTTGATTTATTTATTTATTACAACCCCCGAGTTTAAACGAATTTGGAATCGTTATTATTATTATTATTATTAATGGTTTTTTTTTTTTTTTTTTGCTATGAGAAAAAAAAAACTTACGTACTTGCATATTCTTGACATTCTTGTGACGTCAGTCGTCGTCAATGGATATTTTGTTATCATTCTGTGTTTTGCCAATAGGGGGACCAATTCGACTCCTCCCCCGGTTATTTTATACATTTGTTCCATTTCGTTTTGTTTGTCGTTTTCTAATTTTTTCAACATCAAATCCGTCGTCCATCCCTGCAAGAGAGTGAAAGAGAGAGAAAGAGGAAAATTAAAATTTTCATTATCGATGACGATGAACAAAAGAGAGAGAGAGAGAGAGACAATTAAATTTTAAGGTCGCGCTCGTCGATGGATGAAGTGAAGAAAATGAAAAAAAAAAAAAAAAAAAAAAAGACAAAAGAGGCATCGTGGCATTAGCGGTTTGCAAAATGAATTCCGTCGCACGACGATAGCCGTGTCAATAAAAAATTTTAATTTGGCTTAAAGTGCATTTAAATGATTTCAAATAAAAAAAAAAAAAAACAGAAAAAAGGGAGGGAATTATTTAAAATAATTAATTCCACGACACGGACGGGATCTTTGTTTTTTCTTTTAATTTCTTTTAATGCAGAGGGAGGGGTAAGAGGGGTAGGGGTAGGGGTAGGGGGTAGTAGTAAATAACAGAGTAGATACGAACAAACTGAACGCATCCCAAAAAAAAAAAAAAATCGTGAACGTTAATGGGTCGTAAAGGGAAAACATGATGTGATTATTATTATTATTATTATTATTATTATTATTATTATTATTATTATTATTATTATTCTATGCGTTTAATATGTTATTAAAATCAATTTCGATATATCGAAACGAGCGAGTCGGCGAGCGGCGGCGATATCATACACGGAGTCAGGAAATTTTTTAAAAAAATACCTTTTATCGTGTTTTCGGGACGGTGGGATGAAATTTATTACGAAATTATTACGTAATTTTTATTAGGTTTTTAAAATCTTAGTAATCTCGGCGACGTGTGCCGGGGCCCCCTCGTACGCTAAAAAAAAAAAAAAAAAAATTTGTTGTTTTTTCAAGTCGAGACTCTTCTTATGGCCCCCGGAACGAAAGAAATTTTCGTGGTTGTGAAATCGTCGTCGGTTTTTGATGATGATGATGATGATGATAGAAATTCTTTCGTAATTAAAGGTTTAAATTATTTTTTCGAGTCGCGATACGGATTGACGTTACTTTGCCGGTAACAAAACGTTTGATAAACAAAAAAAAAAAAAAAGTACTCCAGAAATAATAATAATAATTATTATGTTTAGTCACGTGGAAAAAGTTTGTTTGTTTGTTTGTTTGTTTGTTCGTTTGTTTGTTCGAGTCCAGTCTGACACTACAACTAAAAAGTAAAAACCGAAAGAAATTTTTTTTACCCGTTTTTGAAAAAGTCGTTGACGTAAATTTCGAAAAAAAAAAATAATAATAATAATAAGGAAAGTATTGAAATGAAGCGGGGGGCCGGGGAGAGGGGAAAGAAAAGGGGCGGGTTAACGTCAAATTAAATTATGTTATCGTTTAACTATTAAAAACGTGATAATAATAATAACGAAGACCGGACAGTAATAATAATAATAATAAAAGTTTTTTTCTTCGTATGTGTTGGAACGAAGGGAGGGGAGGGGGGGGGAAATTACGACGGATTTTGTATGCGAACGACAGCGAATTGCGTCTTGATTTGTTTTTGTTTGCACGACGACAGGATAACAACAAAACGGGAATGTTTGTCCAAAAAGCTTAAGTAAATAATTAATTTGATTAATAAGCGAATGATGACGTCATTTAATATTAAATGTCGGAAAATTTTTTTTGTTTTCCTAGTTGATGGATTATCGTGCAAGTTATGATGATGACGACAAATAACGGTTAATGATATCGTTGCTGCTGTTGCTGTTGCTGCAGTTGCTGCTGCAATTATTCGTGCGTTATGAATGTTTTATTATTATCATTATCATTATTACCATAGACGTGAGAAAATTTCTTCCGAATTTATTCGGGTTCCTCCATGTTCTTCCGCCAGGACCAGGTCGACCCCAGGTACATTTCGGATAGTCATCGAGTCCGTTGTATAAAACGACCATCAATATAAATAAAATAGGAAAAGAAAAGAATTTTGTTTTTTTTTTTTTAAAAAATTATGTTATTTTTCATTAAAAAAATTTAATCCGACAGAGAATGGAATGAAAAAAAACGTTTTGTTACTCTATGACATTGACAAAAGAAGTATTATTAATAAATAAATAAATAAATGCACCTTACGCTTTGTCAAGTTGAAAAAGAAAAGAAAAAATTTCTCCAGTGAAATTCATTTGATTTATTCGGGTTTTTCATTTACACATTATTATTATTATTATTATTATTATTATTAGCATAATCGATGTCGTGACGTAACGCGGTTAAAAGTATTAAAAAAAAAAAAAAAACTATTTTTTTTATTGGATAATTAATCATGGCTACAGAAAATTAAAAATAAATTTTTTTCTTTTTTGTTACCACTTTTATGGGGCGTTTTGGAATTCGAAACGCGGGGGAGAGAGGGAGATGGAAGGTGTGTGTGTGTGAGAGAGAGAGAGATAGAAAAAGATGTTTTAATCAACCGATTAGTTATCGAACCTGATATCTTAATATCATTTTATCATTGTTGGGGAGGTGAAAAAGTGATTTTAATATATAAAAAAACTTACTTTTTGTTCGTCGGAAGCGTTTTTGTTTTTATTTTCTAATTTTTCAATTTTTTTCTTTTTCTTTTGACAAATGATGGCATCTGTGGTTTCGTTGCGATGGTTCGCACCCACGTGCACGCACACGCACGCACGCACAGAGAGAGAGAGAGAGAGAAAGAAAAAAAGAAACGTTGAGAATTATTAAAAAAATAATAGAAAACGGTTACAATAATGATGATAATAAACATGGCGTACCTAATTCTTTTCTATAGTTTTCTTTGTCACACGGCGTAGATTTATATCTAAGATCGTTTTCTACGGCCCCCCTGGCTAAATCATGCATTTGAAATCTAATGAGGGGATCCGATTTGACATATGGTTGTAATTGACCGGTTGAAGTTCTCAAAGGTGCTCCGTGTCCAGGTCGTCCTAATGTCGTCACAGAATGAGGCTGGAATGATTAAATCAAAAAATTCATTCATTCATTCATTCATTCATTCGTTCGTTCGTTCGTTCATTCATTCGTTCGTTCGGAAAAAAAAACTTACGTTAATTTCATCGTTCGGTGTTTGTATCGTCCATTTTGTTTTTCTCAATGCTCCCGGCATGGGTGCACCGTTCCCTGGTTTACCCCAAGGATTATACGTTGCTAACATTTCCCAATGCTGACACAAAAAAAAAAAAAAATTTCGACAAAATAATAATAATAATAATAATAATGAGTGAATGAATGACTATTCGATTGAAAACTGTTGTGTACGATTTCGATGAAGTTTTTCGAATCGAAAGAAAAAGAAGAAGGAAAGAATCCGATGAAAAATGTTTACGCCTAAGATCCGCCTTTTTTTTTTTTTCCCCATTAATAACTTCCTGTCGTTCGATTAATATTTTTTTTCTTAATAATAATGATAATAATGTTGATGATAATGATAATAATTTTTCAGTTGACGTGATTCGTAATGATTACAGTAAAAAAAAATTTTTTTTTTTTTTTGTACCGAAAAGTCGCGGTTAAAATTTTATTTAACAAATTTTCACGTACCTGTTTTTTTTCTTCTTCTGCTAGTAAATTTTCACGTTTTCTTTTATTTTTCCAAACGGCCGTTCCTTCTTCGATTATTTTTCTTTCGAATTCTCGTCTCGCGATTCTCGTATCTGACAAATCGATAATCATTTCCTTTTTGTAATTTTTCCTTTTTTTTTTTTTTTTTTTTTTTGGGGGGGGGGTTAATTTTCATCCATTTTCTTATCTATGATACTTTATATATTTTATTCTCTGCAAAAAGTATTTCAAAGTATTTATTATTATTATTATTATTATTATTATTATTATTATTATTATTATTATTATTAAGAATTTTTTTTATTAAAAAAAAAAAAACCACTTTCTAAGACCTGTACCTGTACGGTTAAAAAAAAAAAAAAAAGAATTAAGTATGCCGAATCGTAAAGCACGTAGAAATCGTTTATTTATAAATTTAATTTTAATTTAATTTTTTTTTGACGCTTATAAACTGTCATTCATTATCGAATGAATTTTGATTATTATTATTATTATTATTATTATTATTATTATTATTATTATTATTATTATTATTATTATTAGTGGGAAAGAGAAAAGGTTTCTCTCTCTCTCTCTCTCTCTCGCATTAAAAAAATAATGATAATGATTAATCCGTAAGCGACCACGTATCCGTGACGTCTTCACAAGTTTTTTCAAGTTAGGTATGTTTAAAAATCGAGTTTCCCAAATTTCCCCCTCCCCCTCCGCCTCCCCAACGGATTTACACCCGGATTTATTATCATTATTATTTATTAATCGATGATTTCTTTCTCTCTCCCTCCTCCATGTTGTCGTCGTCGCAGGCAGGCCTTTTAACTAAATTTTTTTTAATAAAAAATTTGAAGAATTCCTGGGGGGTTTTTATTATTATTATTATTTCTTTTTTTCCCACGCGTGAATTTCACTTACTGAGTATGAGTTAATGATGACGTCATTAAATAATCCGCAAAGTTATTTTAAATAAGTTTGAAATTTAATGAAAAATCTCCAGCCCCGCTCCGTCCCCTCGGGTCGACGTTTTTAATTTTAAATATTTAAATTTGGGATGATGACGACGATGATGATGATGATGATGATGATGATTGTCACATTATTAATTATTAAAAAAAAAAAAAAAAAAAAATTTATTACATTGAATTTAATTGACAGGGTTTTCAAGTTTTCTATTCGCACGACAAAAAAAAAAAACCACTTTCATTTAATTTTGTGTCCCTTGAAAAAAGAACAATAACGATAATTAAAATGATAAATATTATTATTATTAATCATCATCATCGTTTTCTCATTAATTCGTTTTCGTTTTTCCTCATTCGTCTTGTTTACAAACCAAGACGTTTGCTATCGATATAAAAATGATAAAGAATAGAAATCTGATAACGTGAAACAAAAAAAAGGAAAAAGGAATCGATTACCTTTTAAATGTCATTTGAATTTTCTTATGTAATTTCCTTTTTGTTTTTTGTTATAATCTCTTTAAAATAAAGCGAAATCAATAAATTATTGATTGATTAATTGATTCGATCGATTTTATATTGATTAATAAAATTTTATTACTCTCGCGCCCCGCAAATCTCCCGTTATTATTATTATTATTATTATTATTAAAAACGTGTTGTTCGTGTAAACCCGGTTGTTAAGGAATTCGGTCGACTGACTGGAAAAAGTTTTTTTTTTTTTTTTTGTTTAAATTTTCCTTGTATTATTATTATCATTATTATTATTTTTCTAGTTTTTTATTCGATTAGAATATTTTCGCGGGGAGGCGCAGGCTCGAAAATATTAAAATCAAAACGGAGCCGAGGAAAAAAAGTAAAAACTGGAAAAACTTGTAGGGAAGAATGCAAGTTTGAATAAAACGAAACCGAAAGAGAGACAAAGAGAGAGAGAGAAGGAAAATTTTTTCTTTCCACAATTTTCGACTTGTAGCTAGCAATGATGGGGAAAATGGGGGGTATGGGGGGGAGGGAGAAAAAACTTTTTACAACTTTCGTACCAAACGACAGAAAATACAAATTAATTGATTAAATTTTCCGACGTTTAATTTTAAAATGACCGAATAAAAATATACATTTGTTATGTTTGACTCGTTCATTTTATGCTTTTATCACCCATAGTAATTGATAACTTATTAAACCGCGTAAATTTGAAAAATTTGTCGTGAGAGAGAGAGAGAGAGAAAGAGATTAATTTAATTTTTCACCGTGACGACGTATATAAGAAAACGATTATTTTTTTAAAAAAAACGTGGAAACAGATGATGGGAGTAGGAGGAGGGGGAGGAAGGAAAATAAATCGATTTTCCGGATGTAAAAAAAATTCGATATCTCGTTCGTAGTTTTCCCGCGATTTTTCAAACGAATGCATTCTCACCCTTACGTCAAATTATTCTCTCTCTTTCTCTTTCTCACTCTCTCTCTTTCTCTCTCTCTTTCTCTCTCTCTTTCTCTCTCTCTCTCTCTCTCTCTCTCTCTTTCTCTTTTTCTCTCTCTCTTTCTCTCACTCTCTTTCTCTTATTGAAAGGAAAAAAATAAAATAGGGAAATCATCAGCGCGTTGGAAAACAGGAAATTGTAAGGAGCAGAAAACGTTTAAAATAATAATAATAATAATAATAATAATAATAATAATAATAATAATAATAATAATAATAACGGAATAAGAAAAATAAAAGAAAATGGCGACGTAATCGGCACATAATTTATTACAATGACAAAAAATTTATAAACGCCGCCAAAGAAGTCTGCGAAAATTTACATTACTGGTGATGACCTTTAAACTCCCAACATTCTCTCGTAAATAATTTTAAATAATAGAAAATAAATTCTTCGATTGTTGATTTTTTGTTGTTGTCGTTGTCGTGTGTTAAGAACAATCGATCGTTGTTTGTTTGTTTGTTTGTTTATATTTTTGCTTGACATTAAAAATTAGGTCGCGAAGGTAAAGCGAAAAAAAAAAAAACAAAGAAAAAAAATAAAATAATTTTTTTTATGATGTTGTTGGGTGTAAAAAATTATTTGATGATCATTTTTTTTTTATATATATATATATGGAATTCTTTGGGGGGAAGGGTGTGGGTGTGGGGTAGAAGGGAAAAGGTAGGGAGGGAGCGATTGTAAGGAAAATTTCGAAGGTTTTTCTTTTTTTACCACCTTTTATTATAATTATATTATTACGAATCATTTATGTTAATTTTTTTTTTTTTTTTATTGTTCTTATCGTCAGTCATTTTTACATTATTTTAATGTTTATTTGAAATAATAATAATAATTTTAATAATAATAATAATAATAATAGATTTCGAGATGACGCCTATAAAAACTCCTTAAAAAAAAAAAAAAAAAAATTTCATCGCATTTGTTGCCGCCCTAATCAAAAATTTATTATTATTATTATTATTATTATAAAAAAGAGAAGAATGTCGGGGGCGATGGTGGCGGTGGCGGTGGTGGTGGCGGCGTTTGTCGTCACTGCCCTTGCCAAAATTGTAAACGTAAAAACACAAAAAAACCTGAAAAATAACCTGATTTTTTTTTAAATTGCGTTCAACACGTACGATCCTTTATCACGATGATAAATTTGCCAAAAACGCCAACGCGCGCGTACCAAATTTGTAAATTCGAGACCTAAGACCCCCCAAGAAAAACAAAAGAAAAGAAAAAAAAAAATTTTGGAAAATTTGAAAACTTTTTTTATGGAAAAAAAAAAAAAAAAATTATTGTTTTCTTTTTCAATTCTTTTATCCAGTTCAAAATCGAAAGTTTTTATTTTCAAGGGGGAAGTGAGAGGGGGGGTGGTGAAATCAATAAAAAAATAAATAAAAATTTTTTTGGAAATATCAAGTTTTTCTTTTTCGGGGGGGCGGAGGGTTTTCCCGATCAAATTTTAAGGAAATTTATTAGATTTTTGTCAAATTTAAAATACTTTCATTATCAGTTCGTTTTCCGATATTTTTAGATAATTTAAAAATAATAATAATAATGATAATAAAGTAGTCATTTTTTACGTTAAACGAAATTCAACAAGGAAGGGGTAGGGGAGGGGAAAAGGAAAATTTTTTTCCGATTCCGTCTTTTGAGCCGCGTCATCATCATCATCTTCATAATCACTTTTTACGAATATTTTTTAATTGCATAATTTTGTTTGTTTGTGAAAATCGTTTCCGCGTAATATTTTTATTATTATTATTTCATTATTGGTTTTTAATCGTTTTTTTTTTTACGACGACGACGACGACGACGACAATAAATACCAACTTTGAAAAACAAAAAACAAAAAAAAAAAAAAAATTTGCCAACATTTTTGCGCAGGGAGACAATTTTTTACCTTTAAACCTACGTCGTCGTCGATTGTCTAAAAAAGGTTTTTAATATTATTAATTATTATTATTATTACTTTTTTTTTTACCTCTCGTAAGTCGTTTTTCTCTCTATGGATTTTTTTAAAATGAAAAAATGGGCGGGGGGGAAGCGCGCGTCACGTTTGTAATATTTTAATTTTGAATAATGGGAATTATTACGTAAAATTTGACAGGATTGAGAGTTTGTGTGTTATGCGAATTTATTTGATTTTATTTCATTATTATTATTATTATTATTATTATTACGGTTTTAACGCTCTAATTCATCTATTAAGTATTGCGTCGTTATTCCATAGAGAAAATAAATTCAAATGATAAAAAAAGGAATAACTTCAAAGCGAATTGAAATTTTATTATTATTATTATTATTATTATTATTATTATTATTATTATTATTATTATTATTATTATCATTGCACATTTTACCTGAAAGCAGAATAAAAAAAAATTTTCATTTTATTTAATTCGATTTAAAAAAAAAAAAAAAATTAAATTAAATTATTTCGTAATGATAATAATAATAATAATAAAATGGTATCATCATTAAACCAAAAAAGAAAATTTCGTGCAAATTTCAAAATGTCGGAAACAATTAATTGCCCACGTGGTTTCAATTGATTCTCCAGATTTTTTTTTTTTTTATTTTCTCTTTCATTTGTATATTCCAGGGAAAAAAGAAGAAAAGACAAAAAAGGAAAAATCAGTTGACGGGGGGAGGGGGAAGGGGGGGAAATGATTAATGATTCACATTTGAATATCGAAGGGAAAATTTTTTTTTTTTTTTTTTAAAGTTGGTTATCCCGGTTAAAATCAGGATTACCGTATTTACAAATAGGAAGACTTATGTAATTTCCAGTACGTAAATTATTATTATTATTATTTCGTTCGTTTAATTGGAAATGTTGACTTTAAAAAAAAGAGGAAAAAAAATAGAAAAAATGTTTATATGTAATAATATTTTGACATCGGGGGGCCCCAGTCCCCATTTTTTTTTTTTTTTTTTTCCAATACTGTCGTGAAGTCACGAATTTCATTTTTATTTAAAAATAAAAAAAAAAAAAAGAATAAAATAAAATAAATTTTAAATTTTAACGGATTTCGAATGCGAGTGGAAAATTGCATGTTGTTGTGATGGTGGTGGTGGTGGTGGTGGCGGTGGTGGCAAACCTTATTCGTGACTGACTATTTCTCTCTCTCTCTCTCTCTCTCTCTCTCTCTCTCTCTCTCTCTCTCTCTCTTTACCAACATTATTATTACTTCACGTATGTAATACGTTTGAAATTTCACAAATTTTCGTTTCCGTTTAACTTTTCCCGCCCTTTAAGCCCATTCGCCGGAAATCGATGACGTCATTAACCGAAAAAAAAAAATGAACATTTCCGGTCTATGATAAATGAATTCAAAACGAAAAAAATCAACGTAAAATTATCGTTCGAATTAATTATCTATGAAAATTATTTATTTATTTGTTGTTTGTTTGTTTTGTCGTTTGTTTGTTTGTTTGTCGTTTGTTGTTGTTGTTGTTTTTCATTAAAAACGTTGCGTAATTAGGCCCCCAGGGTAAAAAAAAAATATATATAAAATTATTTATTACTACATTTTCCCTCGCGAGAAAAAAAAACGTTTTAATCATTCAACTACTATTGCGATAATAATAATTAATCGAATCCGTTTTGAAATTATTAATCGATTAATCGAAATCTCGTCAATGGTTATCGATAGTAACGATCGAGAGGCGGAAAAAAAAAATATATATAAAAAAAAAAAATTAAAACATCGACCTTCGATGACCTTTTTTTTTTTTTTACTACACTTAGGCGATTTTTTTTTTTTTTTTTTTTTTTATTTCGATTCGAGTACGTTTTCGATTTCGATTTCGATTTCGATACGCTAACGAGTTGTCGATAAAAGAAAGTTTTTTTTTTTATATTTTTGTTTAATTGCTGAATAGTTTTTAATTGAAAATCGTTAATCGATAATTAATAAATTTTTTTTTTATTTTTTTTTATAAAAGCCTATATACGTTGTTATCATAATCGATCGATCGATCGATCTATCGATTATTAATTTTTAATGTTTTTTTTTTCAGTCATTATCATTTTTGTGTTTTATTAAATGCGAATATAAATAATAATAATAAAAAAAAAAAAGTCGTTTGAAAACAATTTGACGGTTAATTAAAATTAGTTTGAGTGAAATCGACATCATTAGCAGACGAAATTTTATTTTTTTTTAATTTTTTTTTTTTTTTGATGAAGATGAAAAGGATGTCTGGAACGTGTGTGAATATAAAACATCACGTGATCCTCTGTGTTGTTTTTTTAATTTTAATTGTAATTTTATTTATTATTATTATTTATTTTATTTTAATTCGCGACTGTGGAGTGAGAGAGAGAGAGAGAGAGAGAGAGATTACAAAAAAATAATAATAATAATTTCAAACGTTTTAATTTTTATTTTTAATAGGGAGTCGAGGAAATGTCTGGAAAACAATTGCAAACGTTTTTATATTTTGCTTACGGGAGCAACTTGTTGGGACAGAGAATCCTTTTGCAAAATCCAACGGCCGTACGAAGAGGAATCGGAAAATTAAACGATCACAGATTGGATTTTAATTATTATTCGAAAAGGTGGGGAGGTTGTTCGGCGACGGTCGTGCCGCACGTCGGAAAACACGTTTGGGGAGCCGTTTGGGAAATCGATAAGTCTCAAATGGATAATTTGGACAAGCAAGAGGGAGTCGATGCTAAAATATACGAAGCCGTTCAAGTCGACGTCGTGTCGGGGGGTCACGATAATAACGAAATACTCGATTGCAGAGTTTACAAGCTACTGGATCAACCCGATCCGTACGAAACGGCGAGCAAACTTCCGGAAAGCAGAAGACCCTCGAGAGTTTATCTCGAAACGATACTCCAGGGAGCTATCGAATCGAAACTACCAAACGATTATTTCGATTTTTTGAAATGTTTTCCACACAACGGATTTTCCGGTCCGGTCGAAGTCCCCGGTTTGAACATAACGTTCACGTGGACAGAAGAAAGATGATGATGATAATGATAATGATAATGATGATGGAGGAGGGTGTGATCAATTCGTATAAAATTCGGTAAATTTCTTTTCTTTTTTTTTTTTAACAATTTTATGTATTTTGATAGAGAAAAATGGGGATGAAGGGGAGGGGAGTGGGAGGAGGGGTAGAAGGATAGAAATACACCCTCGTAAATAATATTAATAATATTTTCCTGCAGTAAAAAAAAAAAAAAAAAATAGAAGTTTCAGTTGATGATTGCAGTCATTATATTATCTTGGGTTAGAACGCATTCAATCATTATTATCATTATTATCGTTAATAAAAATAAATAAATAATTTTTTTTTTAAAATAAATTTATGTAAATTGTCAATAAAATGTTTTTAAAATAAATAAAATTTTGTTTTTTTTTTTTCTTCTGCTTTTTTACATAAAAAAAAAAAAATATTTGACATGCAAACCAAAAAAAAAATGGATGAAAGTTTAAAATTAAATGATTTATAATATTATTATTATTATCTTTAATTTTTTTTATTTTATTTATAAATAGGTTGTCCTTGTCGTCGTCGTCGTTTGTTATTGTTGTTTGTTATTTAATGATTAAATGACAATCGAATGAACGATTTACTGTTGAACAACATGATGAAAAAGACACAACAACAACAAATAAGTAAGAAAATTTTACAAATTAAACATCAAATCGTCGTATGCAGTTATAATATTTATTATTATTATTATCATCCTTTAATCTTATCGTATTATTATTATTATTATTACACGTGATTTGTCTGAAATATCAAAATACAATCAAATTTAAAACCTTATAATATTATTAGTAAATCAGTCCTTTTGTTGACATGTCTCTCTCTCTCTCTCGCTCTCTCTTTAATATCGATTTGATTTTATTAAATTAAAACTACCATGGATAATAATAATGATGATAATAATAATAATAATAAATACTCGTCATTTAAAGGATTTACATTTATACTGCGTCTTGTTTTTTTTTTTAATCTTAATCTTGGGTTATCATTTCTTTTCGATCTTTATTATTATTATTATTATTATCATTTATATATATATATATATATGTATTTAAATATCTCGTTTTAAAACAACATTTGAGTTTATCGAAATTATTAAACGATAAAATATTTTATTAAAAAAATAATAATAATAATAATAATAACTTATCGGTAATTTTTTTACGCGGGATGACGTTTGAAAGTTTTTTAACGTATTTTAAGTACGTATAAAATCCAATAGATGGCATTGCAGTAAATTTTTTTTATTTTAATGACGTATCTCCGTCGTTGAAGTTTGTAGTATCTGTCATTGTAGTTCCTTCAAAAAAAAGGAAAATTGAACAATTTTGGGGGGGCTTTAATACCATATTTCAATTCAACGGCTCCATTATTTTAATAATTTGAATTTACAATAAAAAAAAAAAAAATTTTCGATTCAGTTTTTCGTAATCATTTATTTAATTATTTATTTTTTTTTTTTTTACTTGAAAATTTACATAAAAATTATTAAACTGATTTTTTTTTTAATTTTTTTGTTTTTTTTTTTTTAATAAAGAAAAAATTAAATTACATCGATTACAATTCCCAAAATTAATAATTAAAAAATGATGATGATAACATTTTACCAAAAAACAAAAAAAAGTTTCACAATAATCGAGAGCCTTATTAACATTTAAAAAAAAAAATTAATAATAATAATAATAATAAATAAAAATATACCCGAGAAAAAAAATAATAAAAAAAAAAAATTTAATTACCAGACTTTTATAATAATAATAATTAAAATACTTAAAAATATCTAATAAAATGTAATAATAAGTTCTACAATTATTAGTAATAACCACTCATCACAAAATGTACTCTGACACAAATAATAAATTAAAAATTTAATGCTGTTTGCCCTTTTTTTTTTTTACAAAAAGACATATGGGATCTTATTTTTTTTAAATGAAATCTTTCCTTTTATACATGAATTAAATATTTTTGGAATTTTATTTATTCCATGAGAGAAATGAAAAAATTCCAAAATTTTTATTCCGACCATCGATGATTCTATTATAAATTTTTTTCTTATTCTCGATGAGCCAAAACATAAAATCCGAGGCATGCTAACACAGCATACTGTAATAAAAATGTAAATTATACTTATTGTTGTCGATAACATACCTTTATTATACCTTGTTGATAATATCAGCATACCTTTAACTTTGGATATTCATTCATATAAATGGTAACCATACCCACATAGGGTAAAAACCCTCTCGCTCTTCCTACGACATCATTTTTAGTTAACCATAACTGACCTGGAGCATAAAGTCCCCTATCATCGACATTATTATTATCCCCTTTTGTCAAAAATTTTACTGTACCATTTTTTCTGTAACAAGAACAATCATTGAATCAAATGGCACTAATAATAATAATAATGATAAAACTTGCAAAAATATTATAAATACTTTTCGTGAAGCTTAATAACTCTATGAACTATTGGAATATCTCTGCCCTCAACTTTGAATACGACTATATCACCTACACGTACAGGTTCATCTTGAAAATTAGTTAGAAAAAGAATGTCACCTCTGTGAAAAGCAGGTTCCATACTACCACTGTAAAAATAATAAAGAAGTTTAAAATATTGAAGAATTAAAAAAAAAAATTTTCCTCTACACAAAAATATACCTAAGAACTACAACAATAGGACTTTGACTTCCTGTAACAACCATTAATCCTTTCCAAATCATTAATGCGGAAGAAACCATCATACCAAAGCTTAATAATTGGTACAAGAACTGAAATAACAAATGGGAATATTCGTTTTTGTAACGTATCTTAATAAAAACATGAAAACTGGTAAAAGGTCGATGAAAAAAAAAAAATGATTAATTATAAAAAAATTCACCTGCCGCACGTTCATGCTTTTCAAATCATTAAACATATCTTGTAGCATTTTGCACGTTTAATTTTCAACTTTTATGTCATTCAAAAAATTTAAAAATAATTATATTGAAGTGAGTCCACATTTACAAAAAGACACGTAGGTTTCGTATATATAAATATTTTAGGGCCCCGAAAATTCCGGAAACGCGGCATTTTAAATAGATACCATTGATGATAATTTATGTATTTTTGTATGTCTTTAAACGTTTTTTTGTTTTTTAAAATGAAAATCAGTGGTTGTAAATTTCACATTCACATTTAAAGTTAATTTTTAAAAAAAACTCTACAATGTGTTTTAATTATAAAGTGGTAATTTTTTTAATTTTGTTTAAAACAATAAAAGGAAAACCTGATGATCAACTTTGAGGTAAATAATTGAATTTTTTTTTTGTTACAACATAAAATCTTTTAAAAAATTTTATCTGAGTCAGTTAAACACACAAACACGCTTATATATGAAAAGATTTTTACAAATTTTAAACAAAAGTAATCCCCCTAATTTCAAAAATTTTAATATGGATATGAAATCAATTACATTTATCAATACATGTAATCATGTGAAGAATTTAAAACAAACACTTAAAATTTAAATTAAAATAACTTTTTTTTATTTTTTATTTTTGTTAAAAGTTTATTTAATAATTTCAAAATAATAAATTACAACATAAATATTATATAAATAAATATTTATTTAACATTAAGCAAATTAAATAATATCAATTTTTATTTCTTGTACTTTTATCGTTATTTCTCTCTCTCTTACTTTTACAAGTATTTAAATCGATACAAACAACAAATTCATTATTCGATTATATATAATATATAACATACACAATTATTTATCATAAATAATTAAATAAATTAATTAAAATAAAAATTCCAAAAAAACAAAAAACACATTTTTTTTTTTTTTTTTTCAATGCAAAGTCTTTAAATCGCAGTTACGAATAAATAAAAAAAAAAAACTTTTTATTAATAATAAAAAACTAAATAAACAAAACAAAATATATATTATTGTAAATAGACAGTGCTATAATAATAATAATAATAATGCATAACATCATAATTTTTCAATGGGAAAAAATAAAAATAATAATTTTTAATAAATATTGATAAATTATAACTAGGAAGAGCACATTGACTAGTTTTCCTTTTTAATTTTTTTTTTTCAAATTCATAATTTTTTAAAAAATAAAAAAATTACAAACTAATTAATATATATATAAATAAAAATAAATTTTTTTTTTTTTTTTTTTTTACCCGAGCATTTTTAATTTCATATTTTGTATATATATAATAACGATTAACATTTGCATAAAATTTTCTTCTTTTCAATTAAGCTTAACATTTTTTAAACACAAATAATCAATCAGTCGCACAAAATTTTTCAAAATAAAAACTTTCAAGGGAGGTTTTGTCTTCTGCTTACATTTCTTTCGCTTCCACATAACATATAATCTGAATAATGAAAGAAAGAAACCAAGCAAAACTTTGAATAGCAAACAAACAAAGTCAGATGATAAATTTCAACTCCTCCTTCTTTTTATTTAAATAAATAAATAATAAATAAAAAAAAACTCAACAAAATAAAATATTTTATCGTATTATAATTAAACGATAAACGTAAAACTTTTCATAAGACATAATAAATATTATTATTATTATTCTTTAATAATAATAAAAAAAAAAATAAATGAAACGTAACGTAAATTATTATTATTATTATGATATTTATTGTTTAGCAAGTTAGCTGCCTTATATAATAATGATTTCACAACGTACAACAATCAATCAAATATTTATCATCATTATTATTATTATTATTTTGCAATTTCTCTTTTCTATAACTTTAAGTTGTCAAATCCATCATTTACTATTTCATCTTTTTTTGTTATTTTATAAAAAATAAAAATTTCTTATTTCCATAGAGAATTTAAATTCCGATCGGTTTTGGAATATTCGTGTTGTACGCTCGAATGACTTGCGATTGTGTTATGACTCCTCCTTCCTCTTGAGAAAATGCATAACCGTCTAAAAAAAATACACAATTTAAATCATCATCATCATCAACGAAAAAAACGTTATTTAAAAAAAAGGGGGGAGGGGGAGGGGAGGAAACTTACGAGATAATTCGAGTTCCGTAACGGCCGTTCCTCTTCTCGTCAAAGCGCATTTGACGCTTCGTAATAATCTTGCGGTTTCGCTGAGACTACGAAAGTCGAACAAAAAAAAATCATCATTATTATTATTACTATTACAATTAAAACCGTTTTTTTTTATTACTCTATGACTTTTACGCATCAATAAGCTCATTATATATATATATATAATTGTTGTAATATAAAACGCAAGCTACGTTGTTGATTAACACAAAGAGTTTATGCTGTGAAAATAATGATAATAATAGAAATAGAGACAAACAATAAAAATGGCAACGAAACAAAAGAAAACAGACAGACAGACATTTTTTTTTTTTTTTTTTTTTTTGGTCGCAAGCACAAACATATATAAGTGCGAATTTTTATTTCTTTTTTTTTTTTTTTTTTTTGTTTTTAAAAAAAAAAAAAGTTTTAGTTTATTAGTAACGCTGTTGATGACTTTTTGTTTTGTTTTGTTTTAATTGCATCACAAAATCCTTACTTTTATTTTGATTTAATTGTTGAAGTTTTCGTCGTACTACGGAAGCCACGGACGTTGCTAACGGTTCTTTTGACTTTGAACCCGATTCGTCCTGAACACTAATAATAACGTAATTCTAATTCTAATTTTTTTTCAATTTTTTTTTTTTAAATAAAACCAAAACAAATTTTTTTATCAATCGTTTCTTTAATTTTGTCGACAAACGCTCATGGTAATTTACCCGTTTTTGTATATATATATAAATGATCGATTTCATTAAGGAAAGGATAGGAAAAATCTTACCATTGATTGATTTAGGATTATCAAGGACTTGAATATGTTACCTGAGAATTAAAAAAAAAAAAAAAGAAAGGAAATTTAATTCGGAAGTGTCGAAACGAAAATAAAAATAAAAAACGAATAAAAAAAAAAATAAAAAAAAAAAAAAAAAAAAAAAAAACACTTTACGACGGTTAACTCACGAGTGTTCGAATGAAATTTAAAAAAATAAAAACAAAAAAAAAAAAAAAACTCACGTGGTCGTAAATTCTGCTGCCACGATTTGCGGACCGTCTCTTCTCCGTATTTCGTTTTCCCTTATTTGATCGGTAAACGTTTTAAATATTGTATTTTTTATCCTGAATAATAAAAAGTTAATTGATAAAAGTCGAATCGAATCGTTGAGTTTTTAAAATTTTAAACATTAAATTAATGTAAATTTAACTTACGTTAAAAATATAACGTCTAAAAGTAATGCCGTTATTGGAATTGCTATGAGTCCTAACCAAAATATAAACGATGAAAATATCATTTGATCTTGTCCGACCATGACGACTTCGAATGGTATCGTCGGCCATATATTACTAAAAAGAAATTTTGCAAAAACGTGCTTTAAAAAAAAAAAGTATTTGTTGTGATTGTGTTAAATGTGATTTTAATTCATGTGTACCTGCACAATACGACAAAGCCAAACCATAAACCTATCGAACCCCATATGGCAAAGTGAGTGAGTAAATTCCAAGAACTTGTTATTAACCCTGCTTTTAAACAAACTGTGACAATAACATACTGGAATGAAATGAAAGTTTAAATTATATCATATCGAATAAGAAAAATGCAACAACAACAACAACATCATCATCATCATCATGATCTCACAGTGTAAACTACATTTCCTAGCGTTAAATAACCACCGACGCTTCCAGTTTTCCATATGCTGTCTTGTTCTAGTGCTAAAAGTGGAAGCCAAAACAAGAGAATCGAATGAAAAAGTGCATTCAATATCCATATCCAAAACACCTGAAAATCAAAAAAAAAAAATAAGCGTAAGTGAATGATTTAATTTTTTTTTTTTTTTTTTTTTTGCCTCATAATCACACTTTGATCTATCTCTCTTTTAAAAATGATATTTACTCTGAAATTGAAATATTGAGCATTTTGACTAGGCTTATATAATTTACAGTAGGTTAATCTGGCTTCTGCACTGCACACTTTATCGAATAAACCCAAAGCTAAAGGTGGAGCAGCTGTAAATATCTGAAAACATATCAAATCATTTACAAATTTTTTTAAATTTTTTAAAATTTTTTTTGAGAGAGAGACATTATCTGCATGATGATTATATGTTTAAAAATAATACCTACAACGTTATAAGCTCCAATGGACCATTTTTCGAATAAAACTTGACCACTCCAACCGGAGTAAATGGCAAACCATAATTCGATGACATACAAACAAACATTTTTATAAAATGAATATAAAATTAATTTGCACATTCTGTTGTAATTCCACGCACCGTGCACGAGCAAAAGTTTTACCAGGTACTTGAACTGTTGAAAAAAAAAAAAAAAAAGTATTCGATGAAATCTTTTTCAGGAAAATAATTTTTTTTTTTTCAAACCTGGGCTATCGAATAATCGCTCGCGCATGCAGCCTGAAGTCCTTCGACTCCAGAAATCCCTACTCCGATATTCGCTTTTTGTATCATGGCGACGTCATTTGCACCATCTCCGATGGCTAACGTTATAGATTTTGTCATTTTCGAAACTAAATCTACCACCTACATAATAATAACAATAACAAAACGGAGTTTAATTTTAAAATTACTTGTTTTAAAAAAAAAAAATTTTTTCAATTTCAAATCTTACATCTGCTTTTTGACTGGGTGAAACGCGACAGCAAATAACGACTTTACAAGACGTACATAAATCTAGAAAATCCCTTTTGACGTCACAACTCAAAGCGTACTTTAATGTTTTACCATCTACGATTAAAGCAATATCGTTGGGCCGACGAAGGGAATCCCCTAATTCGGCAATATGTTTTGATATGGCTTCTCGAGTTCCCTAATGTTTAAAAAAAAAAAAAAAAAGGAATTTTAAACGACTTGATCTATCGACGGGGGTATTATATAAAAAACATTTCGATAACTTACATCTAAACTTTCTTCGTTGAGAAAAATAAGGATCATTCCAGAAGAAATTAATTTACAAGAATATCCTATGTTGATTGCCGTTTCTTGTTTGTCTCCCGTCAAAACCCAAACTTTTATATCGGCTTTGAGAAGAGACTCAATCGTTTCGGGTACCTGAAAATTACAATTATTATTATTATTATTATTTTAATTTAAACAATTACTTTACAATTTAAGCAAAAAAAATAAAATAACTTGGTTACTTGATCTTGTAGTTTATCCTCAATGGCGGTAGCACCCAAAAGTGTTAAATTTACTTCAATCAAATTGGCCGCATCTTCAATTTTAGATTCTCTGTTTTGTATTGACGTCACGGCTTTGTAATAAGTTTCCTTCCATTTCTAATTTGAAATTTTTTTTATTATTATTATTATTAAAATTCAACGATTCAATTATTTCACGTACCTGATAAATTTCATCCTTGATTTCTGCATAAGCGCAACACAGTGTTCTCAAACCTTCCGTGGCCATATCTTCTAAATCTTTCAATGTTTTTGCCCGAAATTCTTGACTCGATGGTGATAACCTTTCGTAAATGACCGAATCAGCTCCCTGGATAGGAACAATTCGTATATTTTTATTTAATCGGAAAATAACGAATATAAATTATTTTCTCACCTTGCAAAAAATTTTTATAATTCCTTTCGGATCTTTAACGATAACCGACATTCTTTTTCTCTTCGATGTAAATTCAATGACGTTTAATATGATGAACCTTTGTAAGGTTCCCAACACGTTGACTTCGACGAAATCCGGTGTCCGAGTGACAAATGTCCAACCGTAAGATTTTGCCCCATTCACGAGTGCCCTTTCGTCTATGCACCATTTTAAAATTATCAAAGGAAAAAATTCAAAAGGAAAAAATTAACAACAATCAATTGAAAACGTACCTGGAGAAGCTGCTTGATAAACGAGTCCACCATCGACTTTTTCAGGTATCACCGTGTGACATACGGATAATAATTCCATAAATAATTTAACATATTCTTTATTTTTATGATTTCTGTAATTCTGCAAAACATTTTCCACAGGTTATATGTGGCACACACAAATAAGGGGAGGAAAATTTTTTTTGTCCCAAACCTCCTACCTCGACTAAATTAGGATCGTCAATTGTATACATAATTCCCGCAATGGAACATTTTTTAAATTCCATTATGTTCCTCGTTAGAGTTCCCGTTTTATCGGAAAAAACATATTTGACCATACCTAGTTCTTCGTTTAAATTTGATGTTCTTGCCATGGCCGGCGTGTCCGATTCTTCGTAATACATATCTAAATCCATGTTAATAAAACTCGCCTGAAATAATAATGAGTAATTAAAATAAACGTCCCGTAACCTTTTGGGAAAAAAAAAAAAAAAAACCAATGAAAAATTATTCGTACCTGAACAATTCTTACGACTTCGATCGACACCTGCAGAGATATAGGAATGAGATTGTTGTATAAAATAATAAATGTCAATAAATTAAAACCGAAGTTACTATTATCGAGCTCTACAAAAAAACGAATTTCGTGTCAGACAACAACAACAACAACAACAACAACAAACAAAAAAAATTGAAATATTTTTCCATAAAACCTACGACTCAATGCGATGTACCAGTCTTTTTCCCAATGAACCCGAGTCCAAAGTTCGTTAAAAATTGCGGATACGAGACACAAAACGATAAGTATAAAAAATAACATTAAAATTTGAACGTTGGTCATTTTGTCAACCGACGATCTTTTCAACGGTACCCTAGATGAGTTTTTCATGAGTTTGGTTTCGTGTCCGGTATAAATAACTATTCCGAATACCCACGTCGTATTCCTCAATTGAGCACCCCTCAATAAAACCTGATCCGGACCCAAAGGCAATGATCTGGAAAAAAAAAAACAATTTAAATAATGAAACTTTCCTTTTTAATATATTACATATGGATTGTCCCGATTTATGCCGACCTTTCTCCACTCAAATGTAAAACTCCTTTAAACTCGTATAAAAGTCTGTTGGGTATTTCACATTGTAAACTTCCTTTCAACGATATCAAATCTTTTGTTTCCAAAATGTACGATGTTGCCGATAGGCCTTGTCTGATTTTCAAATTTGTTTCCCCATCTAAATTTGATGTTTCCACAAAACATATCGCTTGAGGCTCGCTAAAATTTTTTCAATTTTGTTTTACGCAATAATTATTATTATCATTAACGGGGAAAACTTTTCATGTACCTGCTCGAAAGGAGAACGACATCGGCTGGAAAAAATTGATTATTACGTATTTTAACAATGTCACCGACGACAACGTTTCTCCATTTAACATCGTCCCAATGACCGTTTCTAAGAACTTCCGCTTTTCTATGATTCGTTTCCCGATCCGCTCTGTGCCTTTTCTGTACAAAAAGAAAACTATTTCAATTTCTCTCTCTTTAAATTAATTTTTTTTTTTCATTTGACATAGAGTAAATAAACACTCACAAAATCTTCTACTATTTCTTTGACGGCGGATACAGTTAATATGAACACTAATGGTATCAATGTCGTGTATCGTCCCGTGGGACTCACGTCGGGAATTTGCTAAAAATTCACATTAAAAAATTTAAATTTTACGACATTATTATTATTATTATTATTATTATTACAATTAGTTTTTAAAAAAATTCAAATACCTGCAATAAAGCGATGAAAAGAAAAAATATATTGGAATATTTTCTAAACTGTTCGAATAAAAATATTGGTAAAAAAGAGAAAAGGCTGTATTTAGCCGTGCTGACTTTGTTCGAACAAAATTTCGATATTTGTTCTTCGTTGATGTTAATATGTCGGCGATTATCTTCAGGTTCGTCCGTTCCCCCGCTATTAATTGAACCTGCCACATTATGCCTACCACCTGTAATTAAAAAATTATATTTTTCAACGTGATACTTTCAAATATTTTCTTTCTTTCATTCATTCTCTCCGGATCGAAACGAAAAGGATTTTTCTCTCGTTTCATTCAAATAAATAATATTAATTAATTATTATTATTATTATTATTAAAAAAAATACGTACTTGAATTTTAAGAAGACCGAGAAAGAAGAATAAAAAATATGAGAATGACAATGTTATTTAAAAAAAAAAAAAAAAGCAAAAAAAAACCATGCTCCATTTAGTATTAAATTAATATACCCTTTCGCACCTTTTTAATTATTAATTAATGACGTCATAAACGAAAACGTCATTCAAAATGGCAGTCGGGGGAGAGCTTTGATGAAATGAAAATTTTTTTTTTTTTTTTTTTTTTTTTACAAGCTCTAATGATTTTTATTTTCATGTTAATTGATTGTTTTTTTAAACAAACAGTTAATCGGTTGTTAAAAAAAATTAAAATGGCGACATTAACAACAACAACAACAACAACAACGACAAAATTAATTTTCTTATCACGTTACAACTGTTTATTATTATTATTATTATTATTATTATTAATAACCGTGTGTTGGTGTAGGTACGAGAGATAAATGGGGCATAAATGGCGTATTCTAAAAGGTGTTAATAATAATCGAGTAAACAATAATAATAATAATAATAATAATAATAATGATAAAAATTGGATTTGATATCATGCGATGATAATAATAATATAACAGGTGGTGCCAAACCATTTTCCCCCTCCCTCCCCCCATCTAAATCCTTTTCAATTTTTTCATTTTGACATTTACAACACGTTAGAGAGATTTCATTAGAAAAAAAAAAGGAACTTACTCAACCTGATTTTCCAACGCCAATGAACGAACCTAGAAAATATGAAACTCATCTCTTGCTACTAATATAAATACCATATGGCAATAAAAAAAAATAAATAAATAAATAAATTTATGTATGTATGTATGTATGTATATGGAAAAAAAAGGTATCGACAAAATTCTACCTAATATCTATAAATTTTTTTTTTTTTTTTTATATTCTAAATAATGATGATGATGCATACATGTAATCGAATTATTTTAATTTTATATTATTATTATTATTAATATTATTTATGAACACACGTATTTGTGTATTATCGTCCAGGCACCGATTTCTACAATTTATTACATTTTTCATAACTTTATTTTATTTATATATAAATATAAATAATAAAAAACAAAACAAATAATTCAACACGAAAAAAATACATAAATATATACTACATCCTATTGATAACTGACTTTTCTCCTCATTTCCCAAAAACACAAACAACACAAAAAAGGTTTTCTCTCAACGGCGCAGAGAGAGAGAGAGAGAGAGAGAGAGAGAGAGAGAGAGAGAACAACAAAAGTAAAAACGAAACAACTCTCAATATCATCAAAATTATTTCTCAATATCAAACATTTCCTCCTCTTTCCCGGTTTTTTCCTTTTATTAATAACCTTTTTTTGTTTCCCTTTTATTAATAACCTTTTTCCTTTTTTTCTCTTAAATCCATCCGTACCTAAATACTACCCTTAACGAGTAAAACGCGAATAGAAATTTTCCTGTCTATTTTCTTTTTTTTTTTTTTTTTTTGTAATTCGACTGGGGGAGGGGGAGAAAAAGAAGAATTGAATAATAATAATAATAATAATGATTACCTTTTCTGATTTTAATAATTTAATTTTTTTGTTTCTCTTAAATTGGGGGGGGGGTCTTTTCAGGTTCAATTTTACAAATTATTAAACATTGGCAAAATCATCATAATTAAACTTTAAAAAAGAAAATTTCACACATTTTAAAGTTACAAATTGAAAAAAAATTTAGGATTTTCCCGGATGACAATAATAAATTGCTAATGACACGACGATGCCCATTCCATCTTTCTTTTTTTTTTTTTAAATTTAATTCCACAACAAACAAACAAACAAATTTTATTATTATTATTATTATTATTATTTTTTAAACGAATTAAAAATAAACAAATTCAACGATTAAAACCTTAAAATTTTCCAACGTGGAAAATTTATTTCGTACAAACGTTTGTCGTTGGCAAAAAAAAAAGAGGAAAATTGTCAGATGATTAAGAGATTATGTATATATAAAACCATCGAAACGTATTAAAAAAAAAAAAAAAAGAAAATTTATAATTTATAAACAGGGAAAAAACACACAAACCGGAAAACCGGAAAGGGTTTTCCAACAGCTTACGTTAAAAACGTATCATCATTATTATTATTATTTGAACTTATTATGAGGTTTGACAAAATTTAATATTTCAACACCGATTTTACAACTTATTATAATAAATCAAACGTAGCAGACGACAATTTTAATTAATTCTTCTCATTTGCTAAGAGTGTCCAATGATACCTGGACCTAAATAGGTACGAACATCATATTCGATGGGAATTCGATTTCATGCAAAAATTCAACACATTTTTTTGGGCAAATAAATCTTTTTTCGATAAACCGTGAGAGTTAATAATAATAATAATAGAAATAAATGGCTGTTGGTCGTGTTCGTTTGAAAACTCAAAAAAAAATTTCATCGATCGATTTAAACGTGTTTTACGTTTTACTTTTTTCCTTTTTCCTTTTTCCTATCCTTATTTCACACAAATTTTATTTAATTTTAGAAAGAAAATCGCCGCCATTTAATTTACGTTTTTTTTTTTCTAATAAAAAAAAATCGTTGATCGATTGCT